ATATATATATATATATATATATATATATATATATATATATAACATTACAAATACGAAAAATTTATTTTTTATTTTTTTGTTAATGATTTATTTGTCATCATTTATTTGCATCAGTCGATCTCATAAAGATGCACAAATAATAGAAAAAGATATATATATATGTTTAAATATATGTATATATTTCAAATATTATTATAAATTATGAACTTTCTCTCTATCGCTATATTTTCCAAACAAGGTCAATAATTCTGGAATTTTGTGTATAATGTGAATACATTATACATATTAATCTTCAATATCATAATTTTTCATTAAAATCTCAATTTTAATTTATAAAAAATTAAGAATGAAACTCAACAAATTCATCTTGCTTCATAGCTTTTTTAAAGTAAAGTTATTGTTTAATCGACGTTGATAAAGACGGACAAAAGAAGTGCAAATTTATTTGCAGATTTTGACTTTATTGCGCTACTATTTCATAGCTGAAGCTTTTTTACATCTCCAGGGAAAAGATGTGTCCAAAATATTGATTTTCAACTAAGTTATGGTGGTTCAGAGTTTCGAGTCTAACAGAGAATTACATATTATATCATATATTCCAAAATAAAATATGGTTAAAAATATGATTGTACGCGGATGGTTAATTTTCAAGTGTCACACAAAGTTACATGTTAATGACAATGTATGTTCTCGTGCCGAAGTAATGATCTAATATCTTCAAAGTGTCTGATAACCTGAAGAAATATATAATCAGAAAATGGACATTCTCTCACCCTTCCTCTCCCGCCCCGAACAGGCGGATGAACTCGGAAATCAATATCGACGAGGAATATCCGTCACTTACCACGGCAACAACAACGACATTCGTAATTATAACGGGATCATCCCGAGCGATGTAACACAAAGCAAACACATTTCGCGCAGGTACCCGCGCCCTCCGTCGAAGAGATCTCGCCCTTGAACTCCCCGAACCGTCGGCATGACGGTTAATGAAATACGTGACCGGAGCCACCGTCATAATCTCAAACACTTGATTCCGCGCCCGTGCGGCGGGAGAAATTGCGAAAAGGGTCCCGGGCGCTCGCTCCTGATGCGCGAGAGCGAGAGCCCATCGATGTCGAGCCTTTGAAAATTTTCAGCGGCGAGCAACCCTCCCTGTGATGTCCGCCCTCGGGCCAGACGCCCGGGCGCGCGTAATGCTGTTTAATTCTCTCGCTCGGATTTCCGCCGGTTAAAAATGAGTAACAATAGCGACTCACCTTCGCTTTGATGTCCTTTTAATAATCGAAATCCCTGGGAAATTGATACGCACAGAGTAAGCGGAAATAGAACCGAATGGAAATTAGTTAATTGCTTTGCGCGTCGACCCTTTGTGTTGCCCGTTGCGCTGGAAAATACCATTTTTTGCAATTTTTTTGTTGCTTGCCATTCCCGCAACGTAACTCTTCGGGAGTAGAAAAGGAGAATCAGGATA